AGGATAAAAAAATATAATTAAATAATCGAAAAATCTTTTCATCTTTCCTATTAATAATAACAAAGATTTTGGCGATAAAATTTTCTTTTTATTAAGTTTGAGGCATTTTTTCATGATGGTATGCTTATTTTTTAGCTTAAACCTGTGGAGGTACCTACTTTTTCATCATTAGGCTACAGACTTCTATGCATATATGTATAAATACATACACATATATAAGTGAACATTGAAGTCAACATTCAGAGGCGACAGGCTGTTTCATGCTAGATGCAATCGTCTGGACGTGAGTAGTTGGGTCTTTTTTCTCAACTGCTTATATTTATGGGTCAGTGGTGCATTGTGGGTTGCACAAAACCCAACACACATGGCCTGACAATTACGTCTAGCATGAAACAGCCTGTCGCCTCTGAGTGTTGACTTCAAAGTTCACTTTTATATTTACATATGCTCTATCTCTGATATTGAGCACATCCCATAAATATAGCACACCTTAAAACTATATTTCTTCATATATATATATATATATATATATATATATATATATATATATATAAAGGCCAGCACCATGAGCTAAGACAGAAATTGAACCTGGCCTGAAGGTCCTTTGATTCAAGGATGAAACATGAGTGGCTCTGGTTTTATTTTATATTCTGTTTCTTTTTTTTCTTACATTTTATAGGCTCTACTTCATATTAGGAATCTTTTATTAACAGCTTCACTATAGTTGGATTCAACCAATTATTATTGTATTTCATTATGTATATATTATATATATATATATATACACACACACACACACACATAGCTACTACACAGAGACCCACACTGATGTTAGTACAAAATTTATTCATAACAATTTTTTTCACAGGTATAATTGCATTTATGTATGTACATGTTTATATAAATATGTAAATCTGTATACACAAATATGTATATAAAGATATTATAAAAATACAAGTATCTCCATATTTTTCAATCTATGCATGCATGTGCATATATTTTTGTTACGTTTTGCCCTATCCCATTTGCGCATATGTGGATATTTGCCAGAAAATCTACAGACAGATTTCACCATTCCCCCAGTGCAGGTTTTATGCTTAAATTCTTTCCCTGGGGCTGGAGAGATCAAATGGAATTATGTTTTTTTTTTTTTTCGTCTTCATCTTTGATTCCAAAGATGTTTGGTATTGGAAACCAATACACACAGCCCCCATACATTCACACACCTTACTGCAACAGGGCTGACCTTTGTTCAGTTTATTTCCAGTCAACAAACAATCTCCACGCTTCACTCGTTCAGCACAATGGACAGAAACAGGAATTTTAAGAAGGCTCTTTTTCATATTCACCATTGATCCAGCTTCCATTTTTTTTATATGAATTTTGATTCTGTTTTCTCAATTCTGAAATATTATATGTTGGAAGTACATATATGAAAATAATTTAAAGAAACTGTTTTAATATATATATATATATATATATATATATATATATTTATTTAGGCAGCAAATTCTCTTTTAGCCATGTCTAATTAAATAAATTACAGACATTATGTCTGCTAATTTTTAACAAAATCCATTCATACTCACGAATAACCTTCTGTGTATTGATGTTAAAGGATGAAAGAAATATGCTAAAGCTGTTTAAATGAAAATAAAAGCAATTTAAACAGCTATAGCACATTTCTCTCATCCTTTAACATCAATACACGGAAGGTTATTTGTGAGTATGAACGGATTTTGTTAAAAATTAGCAGACATAATGTCTGTAAAATATTTAATCAGATATATATATATATATATATATATATATATATATATATATAAAGAAAGAGAAACCACAAATGTTTTTGGTTGTAATGTGGATTTTTTTAAAAATATATTATGCTTTATATAAAGTATAATATATTTTTTTTAAAATATATTACTCTTTATATAAAATATATTATATATTTTTTTAATATATTTTTTAAAATCACATTACAACCAAAAAATAAATATTTTCTCTTCTTTTTAGTTTATACACTTTTCTCACGTTGGAACTACTATAACCTCTTCCCTTATATATAAGTGTGTATTTGGGCAGCAATCACTCTTTTATACAAACTTTATTAAAAATGTCTGACAAGGTTCTGTGGTTAATTTATTTATTGCATTGTTCTTGTGTTCTTATAATTTTCTTCTCTGGATGTCAATTATGTAGAAATTGTCTAAACATACTTGTTGATAATACAAATATAATAGTCTTATCTACATGTAAAAATGGTGAAAAACAACAGAAGCATTATTAATAAAAAAAAAAAGAAAAAGCCAATACTCAATAACATCAATTATGATCGTGTCCACAATGTGCTGACCGTGTTAGGAAAATAAAACATGCGTATAACTCTAGACACATACATAAAACAATCCATACGTTCAGTTAAAAGTAAAAATAAAATCATCTTTGATAATGGCCAAAAGTAAAGCCGTAAGCACTCAGACATATAAAACATTTGGCCAATTGCTACATAATTTAGTTTCAGAAAAGATGAAACTAATAAGAACAAAAGAAAAATTAAAATAAAGAAAAATTAAATAAAAAACTTAATTACAGTACCTTTTCAGTCATTTTTAAAGTATTTTATAAAATTTCTCAACCAACAAGGTGCAGAGAAGAAGAAAGAAAATTTGCCAAAAATATTTTTGCATTTATAAAGATAAGTCCACACATAGCAATGAACCAAATTTTGATCTGAAAATTTCACTGTACAATGCTTGATACATGTGATTAATATTCATTGGTGGATTAAATGTACTCATAAGCTAAGAGATTATGTTGTAAAATTTGGTTGGTTGATTTTGTTTAGTAACATATCAACCTCTATAGGTTATTTAATGCTCAAATCTAAATATTTTGTATGTAATTTTATACTTTCAGAATAAAAGCTATGTTTATTTAGATATATAGTTTGCAGATCATAAAATGTATTGCTGGTAATTTCACTACAAAAATAAATATATTATTTACATTATTCAGACTATTGTCCTCATCTTTGTCGCCATATTTATCACAACATTTCAGCTGTTGTATGCTCCGGCCTTCTTCAGGTGGTTGGAATGTCGAACTGAACCCTTTATTTTGCTCACTGGTGTAGACTGTTCTAGTTCCATGTGCCATGTTTAATGGATGTCAGTTATCAGTTATCTCCTGTTAAGTTCCCTCTGAAAGTTCACCACTGCCTTAACCGGGTATTGAATTCACACTCTTTGGGTCCTGTCACTGGATCTAGCTAATGCCTTTATCCACTGTGTCATTGAGAAAACATGGCACAGTGGATAAAGGCAGTGGAGAACTCCAGTCTCCCACTCAGCTGCTGGACCTAATTTATTATTATACCCAGGAAATATTATAAAAACGATATTTGTTGTGTAAAATAAATGCTTTTTTTTTTTTTCATTATTAGGGTACAGACCTGTTGATAAGCGTACATATATTGATTGATAAATAGATTGAAAGGTGGAGAGAAAGAGAGAGCATGACTGGTGAATATATATAGATGGAGATAGAGGGATAGATATGAGACAGCTATGGAAAATTTCTTGGCCAGGACAACCTCCCAAATTCTGACCGAAAAAACAAACATCAAGATTTTTTTCCCATGCTCTTCTTGGTTGGACAGAGAAATCTTTCATTACAACATAAGAGTTATTATATTATATATATATATATATATATATATATATGATATATATATATATATATATGTGATATATATATATATATATATATATATATATATATCTTTATTTACATTTGATAATGCCAAACAGTTATGAATGTACGAATTCATGGAAGATTGAAGTTTATAAGCAGTAAATTCGACCTTGCCTACCAAACGCTCCTTTGTGGCGATTAGTAAGGCACGTCAGCGTAAATGACGGTTCCGTATAAGATGCAGGTTTGAATCCTGTCAAAGGACGAATATTTTCTATGAAAATTTCTCTCCAGACATTCAGGCCGGTAAATGTTATTTAATACTGTTTATTATAAACAGAGCATTTACTTAAATACTTGTATCTATAAAAAAAGAACGTTAAACATAAAATGTCTTTAATAATATATATATATATATATATATATATATATATATATATATAGAGAGAGAGAGAAATGATTAGATAGATATACAGATATGAACAGGGCAGATATACATTGAGTAGACTAAGATATATATTAAATAGAATTAAATTGATATTGAATAGATAGATAGATAGATAGATAGATAGATAGATAGATAGATAGATAGATTAGAAGAGAAGATTTTGATAGGTAGATAGATAGATATGAATGGCGTCAGATAAATATGAACGGATTGGGATAGATAGATAGATAGATAGTGTGATGAACAGAGAGAATGAGAAATAGATGGATGAATATATGTGTGTGTGTGTGTGTGTGTGGAGATAGAGAGAGAGGGAATGATTAGATAGATATACAGATATGAACAGGGCAGATATATATTGAGTAGACCAATATATATATATCAAATAGAATTAGATTGATATTGAATAGACTATGATAAGCAGATAGATATTGAATGGACTAAGATATATAGATGGATAAATACTGAACAGACTAAGATAGATAGATAGATAGATAGATAGATAGATAGATAGATAGATATGAAATGACCCAGATAAATATGTACATATTGGGATAGATAGATAGATAGATAGATAGATAGATAGATAGATAGATAGATAGATATTGAACAGACTAAGATACATAGATATTGAATAAATACATAGTTTGAGGTATAGAGAGAATCATAAATGAAAGAATAGAGATGGAGATAGATATTGAACAGACTAAGATAGATTGATTGATGAATAGAGAGCAAGAATGATCGATGAATGAATAGAGAGATATAAATGCATTAATAGACCTCTAGACAAAAGAGACAGCTCAATAGATAGAGACAGATTAAAGAACTTAATCAATAAGGAATAGATACACATTTGCACATATAGCATCCTGATTTCTTTTCCAAAGCCTTGCTAGATTTATGATTTTCTTAGACAAACCAAAAATCAGTAAATATTAACTCAACAATAAGTTTTAGGTCCACTATTCCATCATTATTTGATCATGATTAATACGCTCATAATCTTTTCTCTCAGACGTTGTTTCTTTGCACTAACTGTTCAAATACAATTCTCTTTTTTTATCCCTTTTCTTAATATCATCACTAAAATGTATCAATACTCTACACGTCATACAATTTTGCCACGTATAGGCAACAGTCCATTTTATTTCAATAATTCAATCTTCTTGAGTATTAATCCTGACCAATGTTTAGCACTCCACTGACATCAGCATGACTTTCAAAAGCGTCCAGAAGAACCAAATAAAAATTTACCAATTTCTCAATGCAGATAATAATCAAAAGCACTTACAGGAATTGCAAGCACATTCCCAGGCTCAAAGAAAGAGATTAGTAACATAGATGGAAATGTAAAGGACACTTGTACTTGCAATCAGAAAGAGAGTTGAAATTTCTAGGATGCATAATGAGGAAAGGGAGTTTGGAAAATTTGATACTCACAGGACATGTTGAAGGCAAGAGAAGCAGACTGACACAGTGAGTAATGGCTAGCAGAGTGAGGATGAGAAGAGATAATAAGAGAAAGAATAGGAAGCTGTGGAGAGCCATGACTGCCCACTTTCTGAAGGGACATGCCACATAAAAGAATAAGTTAGCTAGTATGAATTTTATTAAAGGCCAAAGGACAGGTCATTTTCTTTTTTTTCTTTTTTACATGTGTGTTTTTAATTTCATATATACGTGAACTTGATCAAGAACTCATGGTTAATTCTGAAATACACTTGACCTACATTCAGCCATATAGAAAGAAAAAGAATTATATTAAAAATTAAAAAGAATCATTCTTTGTCCATAATCTTGTAGGAATATACAAGGTGCTTATCTGTCTTTAGTGGAGATTAATCACGTGGGTCACATGACAGACACTTAGTGATATCACTCCATACAGTAACAAAAGTGGTAGCCAAATTCATTTTTTTACAGCAGCTAAACAGTAAAATTGCTTTATTTAGCCAGAATCCCCTATTACTTGGGAAGAGGCTAAATCTGCCTCACCAGCAGCTTACAAGTTCATGTTGGCATTTCACCCATTGGGAACATATCTTTCCCAGATTTAGAATGAAACTCCAGCTCGCAGTCCTCAATTTGGAGAAAACCCAAGATTTTCTGTTCATGAAATATGTCCTAGCCTGAAATATAGCCGCATCTGGCCCGTTTGAATCTGAAGTCCTAAACATGGCTTCATCAGATACAGAAGTACCTCCATATTATATGCAAGACCCTTTCTTTTCATTTCTCCGTACACTCTACTTTGTTGGTTAGATATGATATATTATTATCCACATGGGACGTGTGTATATGTACATATTGTTTTTATATGTCTTAGTAGGTTAAAAGTCTCTCTGAGAACAAAGCATGTTTGACATTCCTTTCCCTTTCAGCCATTCTGTTCCATCCGTGAATTACAGTTTTATTATGTCATAGACATAATAATGCCCATAATAGGAGAAATATGAATGGGAAAATACATCTTTCTTCCCTAGATCTCTCCTGCTACAATGTTTAATAAAAAAATATATATTAATCAGTCAGTTATGTACCATGCATGATAAACACTTAGGCGATCATGTATTTTTTGATACATGACTTATGAGACAGATTTTTTCCACAGCAGGTTGCCATTTCTTTCAGCATTAGAACCAGTTTCATTAGACCAGTTTCCATCCAAAACTATAGAACTCGGTCTGTCCTGCTATTTACCCATAGCTGGGGGAGAAGAAGAGGACTCATACCTTTCCCAAAGGTATTAGCATGTAAGTGAATGTAATGGATTCAAGTGGAATTCAAACTCGTCTCTCCGATTCCTCAATCCGAGTCGCTATCCATTACTCCACCATACCTCCCTTCTATATATTAATATTTTATGCTCCCTTATATATATATTTATATATAGCTTAATTTTTTAAATGACTTTTTATCCAATATTATTTTTTATTGTTATAAACATAATCTTTACTGGGTACATGTGTTTAAATTGTTTCCCCAGTTTATTCATTTTTAGTGGGTAGTATATAGATGTTTTTTAAATTGTTAAATTGTTTATTTATTTTTAGTGGGTACATGTGTTTAAATTGTTTCCCCAGTTTATTCATTTTTAGTGGCTAGAGATGTTTAAATTGTTACCCCTGCTTATTTATTTTTAGTGGGTACATGTGTTTAAATTGTTACCCCAGTTTATTCATTTTTAGTGGGTAGAGATGTTTAAATTGTTACCCCTGCTTATTTATTTTTAGTGGGTACATGTGTTTAAATTGTTTCCCCAGTTTATTCATTTTTAGTGGCTAGAGATGTTTAAATTTTAAATTACCCCTGCTTATTTATTTTAGTGGGTACATGTGTTTAAATTGTTACCCCAGTTTATTCATTTTTAGTGGGTAGAGATGTTTAAATTGTTACCCCTGCTTATTTATTTTTAGTAGGTACATGTGTTTAAATTGTTACCCCAGTTTATTCATTTTTAGTGGCTAGAGATGTTTAAATTGTTACCCCAGCTTATTTATTTTTAGTAGGTACATGTGTTTAAATTGTTACCCCAGTTTATTCATTTTTAAGTGTAGAGATGTTTAAATTGTTACCCCAGCTTATTTATTTTAGTAGGTATTTATTTTATTGTTAGAGATGTTTAAATTGTTACCCCAGTTTATTCATTTTTAAAGGTAGAGATGTTTAAATTGTTACCCCAGGTTATTTATTTTTAGTGGGTACATGTGTTTATGATGTTACTCTAGTTTATTCACTTTTAGTGGGAAACATGAATTTAAGTTGTTACCCCAGTTTATATATTTTTGCTGGGTACATGTACTTAAGTTGTTACCCCAGTTATTTATTTTTAGTGGGTACATGTGCATTAGTTTATATCCCTGCTTTTTATTTTCTTAAAGAGCAAAATTAATAACAACTGGCCTAGATCATGAAGTACTATTGAAAAAAATTTTGCCTCTGACAGGAATCGAACTTGATTCCATCAGGGAAACAACCTTTTGAACCAAAGTGTGCCTCAACCAGTTCAGCCACAGAACCTGCCTGACAGGGCAAAGTTTGAATAAAACTATTACTGAAAGCACATATTTTCATTGGGACTTCTTCAAATCTATATCTGCTAACTTCAGTTTTGTACTGAAGCACAAACAACAGTATTTTTTCTTAAATAATTTTTCATCCAACACTATTTCTTCCTCTTATGAACATTTGTTTAAATAGTAACAATCAATTGCTTTTCTTTTTTTAATCATTTCCCCCCAAGTAAGGTGGGAATGCCATTAGTCTTCAGGGGGTTACTGGGAGTGAAAGTGAGAGTAAAGATGGAGTATGGGGAGGATTAAGGAAAGGACAAAAAATTAACAGTATTAAAGAACATGGTGATTGATATTGCATTTAAATTTTTGAAGATTGTAGTTACCAGGGAAGCAAGTAAATAGAAAGGAGTTCCACAGGCAGGAAATGCAAGAACGGAAACTGTCGGAGTAGGAGTGGCATTTAGCTATTCAAACAGGAAACAGATAGGACCTAGATGCCAATCTAGTAGCATGCTTAAATTTATGTTTTCAGAGCACCAGGGGAAAAAAAGCTTGTCAGAGCAGTTGCCATGAAAATATTTGTAGAAAAGACAGATGGAAGCCACATCATGTTGGTGAGACAATGACTGAAGTCAAGATACCAAGTCAGAACCAATTACATTGCAATATTTACTAAGATTACATTTGACCTCCGTTCACACACATACATATACATGTGACCCTAACAGATACTACTACCTTGGATCAGGGTAGTAGTATCTGTTAGAAAACCTAAAATAACAGCAATTAAGAGGTGGGTTGGTAGGACTTTATATATACTGATTCCAAAATAGTGATAATTGTTTATTAGCTTTACTCAGCACTGAGAACATGTTCAAGACTGAGTACACAGCTGGTTTTTAATAAAATGTTCAGCTATTGCTGAACATAATACAATAATATATGTAAATAGTCCACCTTTCCCTTGTGAATATTGGATGATACATATTGGCTGATCCAAAATTGAATTACAATTAAAAATATGAAATCAATATATTTTGGATTAATTTGTTTTTTTTTGTTTCTTTTTTATAATGGGCAGTTGTTTATAAATATCATTATTACTAGAGTCAGCTGAAAAGTTCATAAGCTGACCAAGATACTCTCATGAATTGTGACCATATGAGGTCTATTTTTCTATACAGTCCCCCTTGTGGTTCATGCTCTTCTTCCATCAGTGTTGCAGTGCTTGGATCCCATTGGTAAAGAAGCTTTCATTTTGTTAGTTAAAAAAAATCAGCAAATATGACATCATCACCATCGTAATACTGGTTCCCAGCCAAGTGGGTTTTTTTTATGTTTGGAAACTGATGATAATCAATAGGGCCAGAATAGGGAAGGTGATTAACCAGTTCAAAGCCACACTCATGCACAGCAGCCATTGAAACCAATGAATTGTGCCTGCAGTATTGTCTTGATGAAACAAAACTACTTTCATCAATTTTTCTTAGTGTTTGGTCTTGATAATCTTTTGTAACTGCCTCATCAATTTGGCATAGTAGACTCCATTGATGGTGTGGCCCTTTTGAAGATAGTCATTAAACACAATAGCTTTTGCATCCTAAAAAAACTGCAGATGAAACAACTTTGGCCTTCTTTGGAGCAGTTGAGAAGGGGTCTTTGCACAGCGTAGATTGTCCCTTTTTCTGTGGCCCAAAGTTATGATCTAACACTCATCATTGGTTAGGAAATATTCAAGGAAACCAGTTGGATCTGCCTCAAAAAAAAATGTCATATTTTCTTATGATGCAATCAGCCTGGTGCGCTTTTGATCAAATGTCAGAACACATGGCACCCA